TAGTGTGAGGATGATACCCACTATGTCTTAGGATAGTTGTGGAGATAAAATTAGGTAAGACAATGACTGTAAAAATACTTGGTGTATTCTATGTGCTTGGTAAATGATAGCTCTTATTGTCACTATTCTCATGGATTTCAGAGGCTTGTGTAAGGCAGATCTTTCTTAATTGCCTCTGTTATTCTCTTTTCCTCCAAGATATTCATCATTATTTTTGCCTAATTTTCCGTAAGAAATTTTTAGGTATTGAAATAAACCTCTGTTTACTTCTTATTTGAAACCTTCTATATGTGTTCTATAGATTATGAAGCCTAAATTACTTTTTAGTGTCATCCCCATTGACACTTAATGCTAACAAGCACTCTTCTGCTAAACACCACAGAAATGTTTTCTTATGTTTTGAAACTATTCTCCTGGTATCTTTTCTGATTTTGCCTTATGAGGCCTCCTACTTTATAAATTAGAACTTGTTCTGAAGAGATATCTTTGGGCTTTGTGTTTGGTATTTTGGGTGTTGGGACACTTGTTTCTGAATTCATTGATAGAGCCTCTTTAGAATAGGTCAGTTATTGAAAAACAATGCTTGAAGCAACTGTCTTTAAGCCATCTAGAAGAGGGTATTTTGCTTTTTGTTTTCATTCTTCAAGGCATACATATAATTATTTTTGAGGAGACCCTGGTAAACATTTGCTAATTACCTTCTTTTAAATCCTAAAGTAATCCACATATTTAATAAAAATCCTAAGTGATGTTATACAACTTTTTTGGGATAATTCTTTAAGTTAATTTGTTTATAACTATTATTGCCAAAATAAACCTAATTTGGGGAAACATGCTGTTCATTTTTCCCAAGGAAACATCTGTACCCTTTTCTTTGGTGTGCTCTAAAAATATATATAAGACTTTGGAAAAGGTAGTAAATAGACTTCTTAAACACAGTGTAATCAGTGATCAAATTTATGAGCTATGCAATTTCTGTTTGTAACCGTATAAAAGAGAATTAACCTCTGAATATCTCTGGGCACTCCTTGCCACATGCAAGTTCCCCTTCTGGGACCTATAATCAGACTGTCCTGCTCTATGTAGACACTTAACCTTGATGTTGTAATTAACAGTGATGTATATTTTGTTTTCATTGAAAACAATTTGACCTTTATTCTGTCCTTTAAAATATATAAATAAATATATGTATGTACTTTATTTATTTTTCCCTTCCTGTACTTAAGAGCTATAATAACAGTTCTTGCTTGTGGCCATTTATAATTAAATTTACAATTACAGGATAAATAGTATGTTGAACTTGGTACAAAACAAATTATGAGGTAAGAATCTAATTAGAATTTTGAAATAAATTATTTGTTACTAGTTATTTTCCTTCTGGTTTCTAAGGATTAAAAATAAAAATTATGGTTGTCATATTACAAAAGAATCCTGCTTTATTTATGAGCATGTGAAATCACAATATTTAAAATTATGAATCAAACCAAAATTACTGTTTTTTCACTGTCAGCATTTGCAGGTAGGGAAATGTGAAGTCTCAGGAAATACTATTTCTGTTCTTAATTATAGGTTTTCCCAGATTTCTCCCCATAAAGGCCTACAGATACTGACAAACTCTGAAAGGTGGTAAAACGGTTGTGTAACTGAAACTAAAAAATCATGAAAAGGTATTACTATCCATATGCCTTTAAAGGTACTTAAAGCAAAGATTAACTCAGTGTATTTTGTTATTTCATTGGCTGTTTGACTAAGCTGTAATTATATTCATTTACATTACATTAAGAATCCACTTTCCATTTCTATGTCAAACCTTTGTATTATTAGATATTTCAGGAGATGAATCTCGTTGAATATTGAATAATATCAGGTTATATTAATGTTAAAAGCAAACAAAACACACAATTAGATTGAACTCTAGAATTTGTACATGGAAGTGAGAATACTAAGATTTGTATCATAATTCTGTACTTTTTAGATTATCAAGTACTAGTGTACTATGTCTGTATTATACAGTACTATCATTTGATGGTTAGTAAGTGTGATTTTCAGTTGTAAGAATATGCCATTTTTAGAAAGTGGTGTAAGATCTTAATATTAAAAGTTGTAGGAGAAAGCTTCTATGTGGGGGACCAGAATGCTTCCGTGTGCCACCATATGGGCCCCCAAGCTCCAACAGAACAGAAGCTCCTTTGTTCAGGACCTCGCCCTATGTATCGATCCATCTGGTCATTAATCCATATCCTTTAATATCCTTCTATAATAAATCAGTTATCTAAAGAGTTAAAAAAAAGTTTTAGCACATTGATAAATGCTAGGAGCATGATAAATAATTCCATTCTTGTATTTAGTAAGTTATATTTCAGGTATTTGACATTACAAATTATTGAAAGGAAGGAAGAATATTGTATTGCTGGAAAGTAGTATTTTAGATGCTTGTTGTGGTAGAATTACTATAGTTACTATTAATATATTTCATATACAAGTTTATCAGAATGTATGTTTACAGACTACACATAAGTCACATATTACCAGTAGTATCCCAGAGGGTTCTGTAATAAATCATATGCATTCCTTATAGATTGCTTTTTTGTTTTCAAATTATCAAAATTGTTGGTAGTCACTGACTAATTACTTGATTTTTAAAGTTTTTTCCTAAATATAGAAATTACCTATGCCCCTTTTATTTTGCTAAATTGAAAAACTAAGAAAATAAAGGTAATTTTAAAGGTGGAAACAACAAAGGGTGCTTATTTTCAAAGAAAAGGAAATAGGAGAGGTAGAAAGGAGTATTTTCCAATTTTTCCCTTAAAGGTTTTCTTGTAACTTATCATAGAATTTGTCTCAAGAAAAATACCAAATTCTTCCCTTTCTGTTATAAAGTCAGTATAATATTGCTATATTCTGAAAAACAAAATTCAATATTTTAACATTTTGTTTTGTATGGCTTGAGAATTTATTTCCCCACTATTAAAAGGAGTATTTCTTACCTTTTAAAATCCATGACCCCTTTGGTCAATTAGAAAAAAAAATGTTCTCCTTTAACAGTTTTCATATTTTAAAAATAAATTAGTTTTTGTGTTTAAAAACAAAAATTAAAGCACATTTTATTGCATAATTGTTTTACATAATTTTTCTTACCTTCCTCTTGCTCAGAGATAGATTTTGTAACCCTTTCCCATGAAAAGGAGTATCCCCTCCCTCTCCTTTACTGACTCTACTAATTAGTGCAATTATTATAGTTATAGCCTTCAATTAAGTAAAACATGGAATATTATCACTTTTTGTTTAGGTGAGAGTTGGTCACACAAAAATTCAACAAATGAGGTATTAATGGCATTACATTTCTCTAACGATTTGGCCCGATTTAGCTCTTTCTTATGGGAAGAAATCATATATGTACCTATATGTACATTATGTACATTTAGACATTGTTGAAAATCCCATAAAGACATTTCAGTTTAAAACTGAGACAGATATAAGCTGGTAGAATGTAAGTGTTTCATCTTTCACAGTTGTGAATCAGTCTCACGTCACATTGATTATGATCTTTGGAGTAGAGCAAAACAAGTGCAGGGAGGATAGCTCCTGTGAGCTTTAGTTATTGCGTGCTGTAATTCTGTAGCACCAGTCATCTACGTCATGTAGTATGAGAACTTAAGTTTTTGAGGCTCTCTGGATGAACTACACGTGAGTGTGTTGAGCATCAAGTGCTTCTGACCTTTAAACTTTTTTTCTTTTTGACATTCTAGATCAGGACAGGGCATAAGTAAAGCTGTGTCAGAGTTACACAATTTTATATCCAATTGTATCCCTTATTCATGTTTTCTCTCCTTTTTCCACTCTGGAGTGTAGCTCTAAAAGAAAGTGTGTTGTATTGCACCAGGATAGAGCAAAAAGTAGAGTGGTGGTAAATTGGTACAACTGAAGTTTTTCATTTCCCTTTTTATGTTACCTACTTTCATTATTTCTGCAATAAGATTCTATACTTGCTTTTACCTTTGTATGTTAAGTTGGTTACAGTGATTGCTAAAAGAAGTGAAACCAGGTATGACCTTAATTAAAAGCATAAACAATCACATCTGTTTTAGAGAAGTGCTATTTTCATTTTTGTTAAATAGAAATGGAGTTTTTAGTTTTTGTAATTATTTAGTTTTCTAACATCTGCCTGTCTCACTGTCTGTCTCTCAGCAGCAGGGCACAGTAAGGTATTCTTACCAGTAAATGTGGGGCTTAGAGTCCTGTTTTTTTGTTTGTTTGTTTGTTTGTTTTCTTTTTTTAGTTTGAAAATCAGGACAGGAAGAGCAGGGTCTGAGAAGGTAAAGATTTTGCTTAAATAATTGACTAAGCAGTATGTTTATTAGAGCTTATTATTTCAGAATAAAACTGGGTACTAGCTTTACATGATTATTTTCCTTTATTCTAAAATTCAAAGTTTCACTTTATTCATATTATTGAAATAGATCCAGAAGAATCGAATTTTCCTTTAAATTGATTACATTTGTACAGATAATTGGTTGTGAAAGTATTTAATTGGTTTTTCGGTTTGTCCTGTTTAAAGTGATTCTGTGTGTCTGTAGTAACAGTTATGTAAATGTTCTACATTAAAGCAGGTTAGATGTTATAACTTATTGACTGGCTAGGCTAGTTTTTATCATTTTTAAGTGTAATTAATCCTTAAAAAACTGTGTTTTAGTTATCTTCACATGGCTGTTACAGAATGTTTAATGCATTAGGCACTATAGTAACCATGTTTTATGTACAGCAAATGTGGTTCCACGTGTTGACTTTTGCAAGATATTATAAAAGTCATTTGGTAAACCTGTCCTGACTTGAGGCAGCATGTCAGTTTTGAAAAGCCACGTGCAGATTTGAGATTTTGAGATTGGAGCTCACGTAGAAAGCTTGGGGTAACAAAATATTTTAAAAAATTATTCTCTGATGGCCTCAATGATAATGTTAAGAGTACATTAAGCTTTGAATCCCTCCTCTTTTTTAAACAGACTGTGAAGACTGCTGAGAGACACTTGCAATCCAGTCACATAAGCATAATAAATATTGGTCCTCATGGAAGAAGAGCAGGATTTACCAGAGCAACCTGTAAGTACTTCCTTTAACAATTTAAAGTTGATTGTAGAAAAGCTTATCTTAAGAGATTTTATATATTCAGTTTTACTACAGATTCTAAATTAGAAATAAAATTAAAGAAAGGACTTCTTAGTACTTTCTAAGAAAATAATGTTGTATGTTCTTAAATTCGTATCTTGCTAACTTAATGCTAAACAGTCAGCATGGAAAATTCAGCATTACAAGGTAAGTATTGTATTTGGAAATGCCATTTAAAAAATCAGTGGTTATTCTTACAGTTTTTAGAAAATAAAAGAGGACATCTATTTACTCAACAGTATATATACCACTTTTGCCAGAAAATTTAGTTTTATCTTTACCTAAAATCCCCTGACTTAATTTTTTAAAAAGTAGTAGTAGTTGAAGAAAGTATAATTTGACCACTAGCTAATTCTTAAAAATAGATGACCATCAAGAATAGGTTGAATTCTTAACTTCTTTTAAATATTTAATATAAATGAATAAAATCATTTTAAATGTCCCCAAGTGATACAGATTTGTTGCCTTACCATGGCTTCTTTTTGTTTTTTTGTCTTTCTAAGTATTTTTTGGCCCTTGGCATTTAAAAGAGGAAGGCAATAGTAATCATTCTCCTAAGATACTTTTATGTTTAAAAATATTTTCCTTTTGACTGGTTTCTTTTTCTGAAATTAGATAAATACTGATTCAGTTGGCCATTCTGAAAGAGCCTCCTGCATTTCATATTAAGGGAGAATATAGAGTATTATGTGTTTACCTCTCTTTATGAAAATCCAACCTAAAAAATTTGAATTTTGAATAGAGGTAATAGGGTATGTTTTCCATGTTGTAGATGTGTTCTTTATATCAGTGAAAGATGGACACCAACTTCCATTAAAATAATGAAATCCTTAATATATTTGTAATAATTTTTTTTTTATGTTGAGAAATGTGTACTGATGATTACTTTGCCATTATTCTTTTAGCCCCTTTACTCAAGGTAAGTATAGAACTAGAGGGGCATAAGCAATTGGTAAAATGACTTTTGGAAACATTTGAAATCCTTGGTGGGACATTAATAATCAGGGAAATGGTAGGGTTAAAAATTATCCTCATCAGTGTATCTAAGATATACACTGTAAGAACAAATAAGAATTAGAGACGCTAAATTTATCAAGAGAGATTATGCCATTGGGTTTTTAGTGTAGTAAACAAAGATCTAGTTATAGTTTCAAAAGACTTATGTAAGTGTTGACATATTGTTGAAACGGGCATTGTTGTTAGTTACTTCTTTTATTTAAGGTACTGAGAATTATAAGGCTGACCTGCTGGTGAGTCATTTTTTCTGCTCTGCTTCATTTCCTTGCCATTCTATTTAATTTCTATACCATGATATGCAAAACCTGATTATTACTTCAGAGAAAGTGAGAAATTAAAGCACTTTAAAAATAAATTTTCTGCTAACTGTAAATGGTGATTTTCATGGGGCATCATTTTTTCGTTGATTTGTGCCTGGGTCTTCATTTATAAAGGTGACCAATTAACAACATGAAGAGGTCGCTGCCACTAAAAGAAAAGTTTAATATTACTCACAGCTCCCTTAGAAATGAGAGACCCGACACGCCACACAGGGTCACGGGGTGAGGCAGCAGTGTCAGTCAGGAGGCAGAAATGCATAAGGGAATCTTAATATGTATCCAAAGGAAATGTATAGGCCACAGTCTTAACTGGGGTTTCCATAGGCAGGTTAGGTGAGACAGGGTAAACAATTTAGGATTGGCTAGTTTGAATAATTCCAGGGGGCTTTGGGGTGTAGGAGCTATCCCTAGGTATCTGGCCCTGGGTTGATTTAGAGGAGGGGAAACTGACTTGTGTGTGAGAGTTAGATAAAGGAGGTGGTTCAGCATATAGGCTCTGAATTTGCAGGGGAGAGATAAGCAACTTTGACGCTTAGTTTGACCTCATGATTTATGGTGCTGAATGGGCAAATACAGAATCTAAGAAAATATAGAACACTCATTAACTGTTAAAAATAATTAGAATAGGAAGAGTAAATGTCAGACTTTGAGGAGTATAACAGATTTTCACAGGCCATAGCTGAAATCTAAAATTTGAGTGGAAAGAATGGTCCTGTCCCAAGTTGATGATGACAAGTAAAGCCAAGATTTGTTTTTTTTTTAACCTTTAATGAAGGTGCTGGGAATTGAACCCAGGACTTCATGCGTGCTAATAAGCATGCACTCTACTGAGCTGTTACTCTGACCTCAAAGCCAAGATTTTTAACCCCATTGTTTACCTGTATACAGAGAGAAATGTTGCTGATGGGCATTACTGTTGGAGTTATTTTAGTACTGTCATCTATTCCTTGATGAGTTATCCCTCTCTTGTTGAATTCACTAGCTCTACTTTAAGATTTATTCAGGTCATTGCACACAATGCAATATAAATCCTAATTTTAGGTTCTGTCTTTCACTTTTCCTTGTTGCCAGTCAGTCCTCAGTCCTCTGCACTTAGAAATGGTTCTCTCAGTGGTCATCACTATGTCTTCTTACCCCAGTCTTTATCTTTTTCAGCTGCTCTGAATCAGCTCATATTATTGTCCAAACTGGAACTCTATTGAAGAATGAAAGGGACCGCTAGCCTGACTTGGTTTTAGGAAGGAAGTGTAAATCAAGACTGTTACTGGTGAATTGGAAGCACTTAAATAACTCCTTTATAGCTATCAGGGTGCTTGCTAAACTCTAGTTTTAAAAGAGCATATATGCATAGGAAAAATTTTTAGAATATGCCAAACTGAGTGCTGATTATTTCATGGAGAGTGTGGGGAATATATTTTATTTTATACATATCTGTATGGTTTGGATTTTTTAAAATATGAGCATATGTGCCTTTTGTATTTAAATTTTTAAAAGAAATTAATAATACCATAGACCAACGAGGCGGTGTGTGCTTACAACCATAGTGTGCTCTAAGCTAAAGCATGGAAAAGGAGTGAAATTTGGAAACATTCTTGACTGAGAACAATGAAAAGGACCTTAAAATTGTGTTTTTGGCTTGGAAGATAATGAGAAGAAAAAGATGGAACAAATGGCAAAAAGAGAACAACTATACTCAACTCCTAATTTTTGTCTTATCTATCAAGGAGAGACTTATTTTTAAGCCATCTTCTCTTACCTGGATTAATGCAACAGCCTCCTTTGATTTTCTTGCATTGAATCTTGTCCCCTTCCTGGTCATTTACTATCTACACTTTATCAGAGTGATCTTTCTAAAATTCAGAGTGGATCATATTTAAGGCCCTCTTGTTAGCCTCATAATAAAATTAAAACTTCTTAATCTGGTTTATAAGGACTTTCATGGTTAGGCTTCTTTTTACCTACACAGTCTGATTTTAAAATACATTTTGATTGATTGATTGATTGTATTATTTCATTATTTTATTTTGACGGGGTTGGGGGAGATAATTAGGTTCTCTTTGCTTTACCTGTTTTCATTTTTCACACATAAAGAACAATACGTGACTCCTTTCTCCACATACTACTCTTAAGGGAAACAGCCCCAGATTCCATCAGTTGCTGTATCAGATCAGAACCAGGATCTGATGTCCACTGGTTTGTACTAGATCCAAATGTGACTTTTGGACCAGTAGCCTGTGAACTTAAAAAACATGTTTTTTGCCTCCTATCACAAGTCACGTCCCATATCCAATGGTGGAAAAGGCAGTTGTCTCTGCCACAGATTTTACCTTTCTCACTCTCTCACTTTCTACATACTAATTTCCTTATGCCAAGTCAAATTAATAATTAGATAATAATTGATAAGCAATATCAAAGAAAATGATATTAAGTGGTTTTTGTGTATAATTTCCCCTAGGTTATGTTCAAGCCCTTCCCTCTAGAATATAGAGTGTGACTTTCTAGTAAAGAGAGTGATATGCTTCTCTTTTTTTGGACAGTGCTCGATAAATTCTGACACAAACATCTTCCTTTTCATAGGGTTCTTGCAGACTTCTGTTGGATTTATTATTCCTAAGATTACAATTTATCTAGCACTAGTATGATTTAGGCTCTTGTTAAAATTTAGGATGTACTATAATTGTATACTTGTAAGTCATCTCATAATAATTCTGGAATGACATTTGAGATGCATAATATAATTTTTTTATCTAGAAAGTGGTATTTTCTTAATCTTATCTTGAAAGTTTGGGGATTCAACTTCATTTTTGCTGTCTGTAATGATAACACTAAAATACAACAGCTGTATAGCACTTTGTCTTTCATAAATAGCTCTCTCTTATTCTTTTTTTTTTCTCCCCACTCCGTCCCCAATTTCATTTTCACAGCAGCCTAGTAAAGTAGATAGTTGTATTTTTCTTTTACAGATGAGAAAACAGATGCGGAGAAGTAGGCATACCGTGAATAAGCTCTCAGAACTGAGCCTCGAACCTGTATATTCTGAATTTGTGCGTTGGGTTGTTTGTATTTCCTTGCTCTGTTAATGTTTAAAGCATAATTATTTTTTTAGCAGAAGCACAAATAGAACTCTGATTCGTGAATTTGCCAGTGGTTCTTTTTTGTGTTATCTTTAGTCATGACATACCTGTAAGATTATGTCATTTTTTAAAATAACAAGTTTATTGAGATACAGTTCATATCCATTTTAAAGTATATAGTTCGATGATTTTTAGAATATTCGGAGTTCTGCAACTATCACCAGAATCGATTTTAGAACATTTTCTTCACTCCAGAAAGAAACTCCTGTGTACCCATTAGCAGTCACCTGTCCCCAACACTACCAACCCTCCAACCCTAGGCAACTGCTAATCTACTTTTCATTTTACCTGTTTGTGGATATTTCATATAAATAGAATCATGCAATATGTGGTCCTTTGTGACTGGCTTCTTTCACTTAGTATAATCTTTTTAAGGTTCATTCGTGTTGTAGCATGTATAAGTACTTTTATTACTGAATATTGTTTTAGTATATAGATTTATTTTATCATTCATCATTTTATTTATATAGATTTATTTTATCATTCATCATTTCATTTATTATTTTATTTATCTATTCATCTGTTCATAGACACTTGGGTTATTTTCACTTTGGGGCTATTTTGAGTAATGCTGTTGTGAACATTCATGTTCAAGTTTTTGTGTGAACATACTTATTCATTTCTTTGGGTTATATAGCTAGGAGTGGGATTGCTGAATTATATATGGTAACTCTCTGTTTAATTTTTTGAGGAACTGCTAGACTGTTTTCCTAAGTAGCTCCGCTATTTTACATTCTGTCGGTTTCTGGATTGTATTGTGTGAACGCATCTCTTTGAAATCCAGTGATTTTTTTTTTATTGAAGTATAGTTGATTTACAGTGTTGTGTCAGTTTCTGGTGTACAACAGAGTGATTCAGTTATACATATATATATATATATTCTTTTTCAGATTCTTTTCCATTATAGGTTATTGCAAGGTATCGAATATAGTTCCCTGTGCTATACAGAAGAACCTTGTCTGTCTATTTTATATATAGTCTTGTGTATCTGTTAATCTCAAACTCCTAATTTATTTCCCCCCTCCCTTTGGTAGCCATATTTCTTTTCTATGTCTGTGAATCCATTTCTGTTTTATAAGTTAAGTTCATTTGTATCATTTTTTAAATTCTATATATAGGTAATATATGATATTTGTCTTTCTCTTTCTGACTTCACTTAGTATGGTAATCTCTAGGTCCATCTGTATTGCTGCAAATGGCATTATTTCATTCTTTTTTATGGCTGAGGGGTAGTCCATTGTATACATATACCACATCTTCTTTATCCATTCATCTTTCAATGCACACTTCGGTTATTTCCGTGTCTTGGCTATGTATATAGTGCTGCTATGAACATTGGGGTGCATGTATCTTTTTGACTTAGAGCTCTCTCTGGATATATGCCCAGGAGTGAGATTGATAGATCATATGGTAACTCTATTTTTAGTTTTTTAAGGAACTTCCATACTGTTCTTCATAGTGAGTGCATCAAACTACATTCTCACCCACAGTGTAGCAGGGTTCCCTTTTCTCCACACCCTCTCCAGCATTTATTGTTTGTGGACTATTGAATGATGGCCATTCTGACCGGTATGAGGTGATACCTCATTGTAGTTTTGATTTGCATTTCTCTAGTAATTAACAATGTTGAGCATCTTTTCATGTGCATGTTGGTCATCTGTATGTCTTCTTTGGAGAAATGTCTGTTTAGATCTTCTGCCCATTTTTTGATTGGGTTGAGTTTTTGTTGTTGAGTTTTACGGACTGTTTATATATTTTGAAAATTAAGCCCTTGTCAGTTGCATTGTTTTCAAATATTTCTCCCAGTCCATAGTTGTCTTTTTGTTTTGTTTATGATTTCCTTTGCTGTGCAAAAGCTTATAAGTTTAAGTCCCACTTATTTTTGCTGTCTGTATACTTCGAATTAGTTTACCTGCCACTAGTGCCAAGGTAGCACATGCTTCCTATCCCTGACTTACACGAGGACATAATTTCCCAAATCAAGGTGAACAATGGGCCATGAAAAGTACAAACTTAGGTGGTAACATATCTTCCTCCCTCAGACTTTTTATGTTTAGTAGATAGGACGTTAGGTGCATTTTCTCTATTTCTATTTAAATACATACTCTTTGCACTTAGTTGGCACTGTCATAAATAGAAAGTGAAAAAGCATAGTTCTTTCTTGAGAGGTCATTATAGTATATTTAAAATTTTTGCTCCAGGGCTTTTTTGTGTGTGAAAGTTCATTAGCTAAATTTGTTACTCTGTGGCTCTAGTAAAATTAAGACTGTGGTAAGTAAGATTCCTCAGTGCTCTGGTTTTCTTTGTGTGGATTACTGTTCCGGAGACCATAGACTGTTTTGCCTACTCAACCAACCATCTCGTAAATTCATTTCTTTGACTGCAAGGAAGATGAGAGTCTATATTTTGTCGTTTATGAAATTATGCAGGCCAGTAAACTAAATGGGTGAATTTTTCTTTTCTTTAGCTTTGCAGTTTCCAGTCAAAACACCATTTTACAGTGTTAACTCAAATCAGCACATTTTTCTCTCATGTCTTTCAGTGAGGTTATGTCATACATTTGTAATAGAGTTAAATTCTTTTGTCACAGTATGTATACCATCCTGGGATCCCTTGACCTCCTGGTTGGTTTATGGTATCTTTTATCGTGTAGGAGTTTTGGATTTTTGTATAGTCAAATCTGTTTTCTCCTTTATGGCTTTTGAATTTCATATGCTTAGTAAGGGTTATTATCCCTCAAGGGTTTTGTTTTTGTTTTTGTTTTTGTTTCCTTTTTTCTTCATGTGCTTCTGTAATTTTGTTTTTAAGTTTTGAGAGGTTTTTTTAATGCCCCTTTTTTCTTTATCTTTGTTGGTACATATGAAAATTAAAGCACATTCTATAACGTTTTGATATGCTATAAGGAAGAAACCAAAAGTATTTGTTTTTATTTATTTTGTCATGTTTTCTCATGAGGAATGTCCATGAAAAATTGTTTGGGCCTTGTATTTATTATCTACCTTGTTCGAAATGTTAAATTTAATCATATTAAATAACTATATTCCCTCCTGATACATTTGTTTAAAATTATTTAGCGGGGTTTCTGCTTTTGTGAGTACTTACTTTTTGTACTGGGTTGGCAGTACTCTTTGTAGTTTGTCAGCCTGCAATACTTTTAAGTATTCATAATTTGTATGGCCAAGCATAATAACATTCTACTATAGTTATTCTAGTCAGAGAGCTCTAAAATCAGATACTTTGTAATATGAAAGAGTAGGGGGAAAACCATTAGTAGTGTTAACCACAGATCTTCCATTTGTGAATTCTTAAGCTGTTTGAATGGAAATGCTTTCACCTAAGAAGGAATTAGAAAAGATGAAAATATAGGAAAAAAACCAGAATAGTGTGAAGAATATTTTTTAAATTACCAGTAACCTGAAAAGAGTTTATGTTTGGGGGAGGATATAGCTCAGTGGTAGAATGTGTGTCTAGCAAGCAGAAGGTCTTGGGTTCAATCCCCAGTACCTCCATTAAGATAAATAAATTCAATCTAATCACCATCACTCCCCACCCCCCCGAAAAAAGTATACAGTGCTATATGTTGACTGTATCTCAATAAAACCAGGAGAAGAAAGAAAAAAAATTTTTTAAGGTTTATTTTTATTCTTGGCATGTAAGTAATTTAAGTATAAAGACATTTCTGTTAAATAAGTGAGTAGATGCTAGCAAGTTTGCCATACTTACTGTATAATCACTTGTCTGTTAAAATTTAAAACTAACCTGTTTGTATCCAAGTTTGGATACTTTATCAGGGTAAACATCCTATCTTGAGTGAAAATCCTGGTAAACACTTTACCTTGAATCTGAAAAATGCTTTTTTCATTCCAAAAAAAAAAAAAGAGCCCCATGTGAAAAACGAAGAAGTTGATCTCTAACTCTTAAATATAACAAAGATTCATTTAATAAATCTAAGCAAAGCAAAATGAAATAGTTACCCTGTAATTTATTAGTTAATACTGGACTGCCATTTGAGTAGCTAGATAATTTCAAAAACAGATCACTACATTGATGCCTTTGTATATTTATTTTTGCAGGTGAAAAAAGCCAAGATGCAGGAATCAGGAGAGCAAACTTTAAGGTATGTAAAGTTGAATGTCTTTTTAATGATCCACTTAAAATTTTACTGGTTAGTTTACATATAGCATGATTTGGGTTGACAGCCCACTTTTTGCTTTTAGCATCAATCTTCAGGTTTTGAAATTATTTGGTTTAAGGTGAAAAAGTTTATCCTTGTAACATAAGTACTGGTTTTTTTCTTATTTACTCATTATTTACTCAACAGTGTGATCCTCTCTCTCAGATCCTGTGATATGTGGAGGAGACACAATGATGAATATTATTCAGTCAGATGTACAGTATACAAAATAGGGGGAGAAAGCAGAATTAAAGGAAATCCAAGGGATTAATCATTAATTACCAAATGGATATGGTACACCTTAGTCATTAACTCCACTCCCCTTTAAGACAAGAGGCAGATTCTTGGCACGTCATGCTCTGGCTTCCACGACACCATGATTTTAAGTTTTCCACAGTTCTTACCTCCTATCATTGGACTACCAACCATATGAACTAGGAACTGCATCCCTTCTAACATCTTAATTTCAAGAAACGTACTCTTACACCACCACACACACTGTCATTCCAGCTCATTTATACTACTGTCATGCTAGCCTCATGTCATACTGTATACTTCTAGTTTTAAATGATCTATCATATTTTCGCTATCAACCATTAACACTTCCCTCAAAAAAGACTTCAGTATTGTCCTTATGCTGCTGAAATTGTAAGACCTATTACTTTAATCAGTCCCTTACAAACATTCTTAACTTTCTTTCCCTTTTCCCTGTCATCCTTCTTTACCCAAACCTAAAGTTTAACAACCCTAGTCAAACCCAGCTATCTACTGATTCCATCCTTATTCCCAATCATCTGAACCTCGTGAGAGAAAAACAGAAAACTATGCTGACTCGTCTCAGTTTCCATTCATGAGTACATCTCAACAGGCACTTAAACACTCTTGATGGTCCAATCACCCTTCCTGGTTTGTTGTATTTCCTAGTCTCTAAAATCATTTTTCTTCTCATCTTCTCTCCCCCTACTCCCATTTACTCAGCTGGAGATCTTTCTCCCTAATTCAAAGAGAAATTAGAAACAGGAGCTACCTCAGTTGTCTGTTACCAAGTCTACCCCCTAACTGCTTCTCTACAATATTCTCTGCTGCCCTTTTCTCTGAAGTTAATTCCTCAGCTCTTACCTAAGGCTGACCTCTCCAGTTGTACTATGGGACCTTTCACTTTCATCTTTTCCTGCAGTATCCCTTCTCTCCTTCAGCAGCTTCTTTATTGTGGTAAAAATACATAGCATAAAATTCACCATTTTAGTCATTTTTAAGTGTATAATACAGTGGTATTAAGCATATTCACTTTGTTATGCAACCATTACCCCCTCCAGAACATTTTTCATCTTCCTAGATGGAAACTCTGTATTCATCAAACAATAAGTCTCCACTTACTCCTACCAGCTCCTGTTAACCACCATTCTGCCTCTGTCTCTATGATTTGACTACTCTAAGTAGTTCATATTAGTGGACTCATAAATGACCTATATGTGACTGGCTTGTTTCATTTAGTAGAATGTCTTCAAGGGTCATCCAAGTTGCAGCATGTGTCAGAATTTCCTTCCTTTTAAAGGCTGAGTAATATTCCATGTGTATCTGTACCATATTTTGTTTATCCACTTGTTGGTTGTTTGTGTTAACTGCTGACAAGAGCTCCATTGAATGGAGTGAGATATTGGTGATGCTCACTTTTGGAGTTTGGGTGTTTTTGCTCTTTTTTGGAGGAGGATTATTTTATTTTAGAACATTTTTTTTTCCCATCAGGCACACATTGTTTATGTAACTGAACATAATTGTATTTTGAGGCAGTACGTAATTTTTCTAGATACCATTTAAAATATTTAACAAAATGCTGGCGTTAATTCACTGTCTTAGCGCTATTGTTTCTGTTTAATCTCTAGAAAGTCAGTTCAATATTTAGGGGGTTTTACTGTAAGATTCCAAATCCATCACATACCAGACCATCCAAATATACCTTCTAAGGTACAGAATCTAGAAATAATCTTTCAACAGCGGATATAACAGTGAACCTCCAGACTTATTTAGGTGTACATAAAAGACCAGTCATTATAGTAAGAAATGTGAAGTTCTTTTTTCAGTTTGTACCTTTCTCCTTGGAATCCTATTTAAGTAGGTATAAGATGGGGCCCAGAAAACTATTTTTACCCATCATTCAGGTAATTATAAGAAATCAGCCATTTGGGGAAATAATGATATAACTATTAAGTATGATTTCTTACCCTTACCCTTCAATTCCCATTGTTGCATCTTGGATTAGTATATTAAGTGCTATTCCAAAAATATAGGCATTTGAGTAAATAGATTAAAATAAGATTTGATGACATTTAGGTTGCTTCCATGTCTTGGGTATTGTATATAGTGCTTCTATGAATGTTGGGGTGCATGTATCTTTTTGAATTAGAGTTCCCTCCAGGTATATGCCCGGGAGTGGGATTGCTGGATCATATAAGTCTAGTTTTTTGAGGAATCTCCAAACTATTTTCCATAATGTCTGTACGAATCTACATTCCCACCAGCAGCATAGGAGGGTTCTCTTTTCTCCATACCCTCTCCAGCATTTATCGTTCATGGACTTTTTAATGATGGCCATTCTGACTGGTGTGAAGTGATAACCTCATTGTAGTTTTGATTTGCATCTCTCTGATAAATAGCGATATTGAGCATTTTTTCATGTGCCTATTGGCCATTTGTATGTCTTCATTGGAGAATTGCTCGTTTAGGTCTTCTGCCCAATTTTGGATTGGGTTGTTTGTTTTTTTGTTATTAAATTGTATGAGCTGCTTATATATTCTGGAAATTAAAAAGCAACTTAAATGCCCATCGACAGATGTCTGGATAAAGAAGTTATGGTATATTTATGCAATAGAATACTACTCAGCCATAAAAAAGAATAAAATAATGCCATTTGCAGCAACGTGGTTGGACCTAGAGATCATCATTCTAAGTGAAGTTAGCCAGAAAGAGAAAGGAAAATATCATATGATATAACTCATATGTGGAATCTAAAAAAAGAAAAGAGGATACTAATGAACTCATCTACAAAACAGAAGCAGACTCACAGACATAGTAAACAATCTTTTGGTTACTAGAGGAAACAGGGTGGGAAGGGATAAATTTGGGAGTCTGAGATTTGCAAATGCTAGCCACTATATATAAAAGTAGATTTAAAAAAAAGACCAATTTCTGCTGTATAGCGCAGGGAACTATATTCAATTATCTTGTAATAACCTCTAATGAAATAGAATATGAAAGTGAATATATGTATGTATACGCATGACTGGGACATTGTGCTATACACTAGAAATTGATACATTATAACTGACTGTACTTCAGTTTTTAAAAATGTATAAATTTTAAGTAAATAATTTTTTTTAAACTTTGTCTTTGGATTTACCTTAAAATTAATTACATCTGAGGAAAAATTGTTTGAGCATTCAGAATATACCAGGAAAAGAAAACTTTATTGATAGTATACTTGGATATTAGAGGTCCATTAGAGGTCCATTCAGAAAAGATATGAGAGCATTAAGAATTTTGGTGCTATATATTTTTTTAATAAATAACATTTCTTTTTAAAATTTTGCTGTGTAGAAACTACTCTTACCTTTTATCAGTCAGTCTTATCTTTTGCGATATGTAGAGCGTCTAGGACAGTGTCTTCCACTTCTCCCTAGAATATAGAACAGCAGAGAGGATTTCTTGCTAGGGAACATGAATGAGGGAAGGAAGGATGCCTGGACTGGGGACAAGTTGTAGTATAATAATGCTAGCTACTGTTACACTTTGCTTACTCTGTTCTAGTCTCTGCTCTAAGTACTTTTCATGTATTAACTCATTAATCCATATAACAGCCTTAAAAGGTAGGTTCTATAATTTATCCCTCATTGACAGTTCAAGGAACTGGAGCACAAAGAAGTTCAATGGCTTAAGTCATAAAACTAGATTTGACAAAGTAGAGTATGAATCCAAGCAGTCTAGTTCTAGAATCTACACTCTTAAGCACTGTGCTATACTGGTAGTTGAGGGAATAACTGCAGAGTGGAACGTAAGGTAGAAGGAAGAGGGAGGGCATTGTGAGGGATGAAAATTAATATAATTTCTATTCTAGAATTTCATTGAGAACCTTCCCAACATTAAAATGTCTAACATAATGACATGCTCCCAGTTTACACGATTTATTGTATGCAGTTTTTTCTTAATTTGCCTTATAAATTAAAAAAATAGATGTTGCTAAGTTTTGGTTTTATAACAAATAAAAATTTGGGTTTTTATTATAAGACAAAAAGTTGGGAGGAAGAGCAATATACTGGGATGCACCATTTTACGGTTCAGAACCCCTTCTTGGAAGCAAGCATGTATAATTTGAAAAGACTTCTCAAGTGATTATGAGAACCACTGTCTGAAATCAGGCATCTCCGTACTTTCTTTCTGTGGTATTTTGGAAACAAAGTGACAGCAGTTTGAGGTATTATGGAATTTTTCTTTTACCACATGGTCTTTAGAGAAAATCTGACCTACCTGTGGCTTAGCTGGAATTTCTGAGTAATATAAAAACTGAAGTGGTCTAAGGATATGACAAAAAACAGTAGAATGCTGAGGATATTATCCCTGGCCCTAGCTCTTTAGGTAACTGCTATAAAACAAGAATAAATATATCATGAAGTAGACTTACCTTGCCTCTTACCTGGGAAGAAATTGGTTTGATTTAATTACTTTTAGCAGTGCAGCAAATCAATCAGCAACTAATATATTCATTTTGGTTTTCCTAGTCAAGTAAGCAACCCTGAAGTCAATGATCAGAAACCTGAAACTTCAAGCCTTGCTTCAAACCTTACCATGTCAGAGGAAAGTAAGTACTATATTCTGTGCATGATGGAGGAGGTAGTCCTATAACCAGGTGATGCTATTCTTTTGTAATTGGTTTTCACTTACTGCCTTGTTTGTCCCAGAATTCCAGAAGCCTTTCGTGTGTGTTTGTGTGAGTGTGTGTGTGTCTGTCTGTATCCTTATGCTCTCCTATAAGCTTTGTTGACATACCAGCTGAGGAACAAAATTACATGGAATCCACTCACTGAAGGAGTCACACTTGGTGATTTTGTTTTTGTTTGGACATTGGTCGGTCTAAAGGTAATAAATAGTGCTTTACTCAAAACAAGAAAAGTTTGTGGGCCAGCCTCTGACTGGTCCTCCAGAGGGCTTGATATTTTTCCACATTTCAAATAACCGAGTAATTCTACCTATCAATCTAAGCCAAAAAAAGAAAAGTAAACCCCTGAGAGCCCAAGACTGATACTGGGCCCTGAGGGAGATCCAGCTCAGTAAGATAACACCCTCCACTTACCAACCCTTATACTCCTGTGGAACAGTTGTATTCATGCATTAGACAAAAATCTGTGGTATGTTCTGTGGTTTTTTCTTGTGGAGACCTAAACTTTCTGTAGCATACCATGGTGGTATGATCCATAGGGCAAGTAGTCCTTGAAATTAAATAGCTATGCCATTCCATATTTTAATACACATTTTAAAAGAGTAAATTTATATTAAGACACTATAAAAAGACACTTGTTTAGGGGATATTTCTTAAGATGATTATACTTAATCTTATATGTATCTCATGTATTAAGCAATGGTGTGCCTTTTTTAAAAAATTGGTATGTCTTGAATTGTGTATATTATTTCCCCAAAGATAACTGTTTCACTGGTTCTCAAACTTTTAGTGTACTTAGGAATCATGTGGAGTCCTTGTTTGTAATGCAGAATTCCAGCCTCATCTTTAGTGATTATCATTCCGTAGATCTGATGTGGATGGAAATGCTGCATTTTTAAGAAGATAGCTCTAGATAATGCTGACGTGTGTGGGAAACTGTCCATATAGTGGGGAACTGCTCTAATCAATGAAAAGTATCTCCTCTAATTTTTTGAATATCTCACTCATCCCCAAGAAAAAGACCTGTTCCTTATATACTTCAGGGCCCAGAAGTAAGTTTTCTTGCTCCTTACAAATCATTTCTTTCCTTTTTTTCCCTTCAAAAACTCTAGTTCCTTTGAAGTCTGTATTATGCCTCCCCCTACCTTTCTTTATACCTCAGACTGAAGTCCTAGTCATTTATCTTTTAAAAACTAGATCTTCTTTGTTTTCTTTTCCATCCATACTCTTGCTTTTCTTGATAATTTTAACATCCATGTAGATGACCTATCCAATACCCATAATGCCCCTCTTGCTTTCCTGTCCCTTCTTACTCAGCATACATTCTATGGTTCTTTACCATAATTACTCCCTTACAAATACCTTCAATAATTTTGCCTCTTGTACGCTTCTTGCTAAACCCCAGTCCTAATTTAATCCAACTCTTTACTTTCTGTATAAGTGCATTCAAATACCTAAATACTATTGAATAAATTATACATCTAGCTGACTGTTTACTCACAGGGCCTCAAGTGGACATCCAACATGCTTGAAAATCCTACTACACTTCCCTAATGAATTTTGCCTTTTAATATTTCATACCACTTCTTTTCTCTCACAGTACCCATGCTCACTCACCTTTCCCCATAATTAACTGATGACCCCTTCTCAGACAGAAACTGTCTCACAAGACGCTCCCTTATTATTGTATACCACCACCACCAGATCTTCAGACCTACCTGAGTTTGTACTCATGTTTCCTTGCTTTGTTCTTGTCAGAATGGGAATAGTATTCTTGGCTCCTGTCAAAGATAAGACCTTTTATTTGTGCTTTATATTCTGTCTGTTCTCACCTCCTCCAAGGACTTGGGTACTGTGATTATCCTAATATCATTCCTGCATCATTATATTCTTCTCTTCTTAATCCATCCTGTCAATAAAGAGACACGATCCAGTGTCTGTGATCTTAAAACACAAACAAAACCCTCCTTTGGCTCCACAGCCCCCACTAGTGGTAGGCCTCCTCTTTGTTCCATGACCTATTGGAACCTCTGGAGAGAGTTGCCCTCACTTGCTTTCTCACCTCCCCTTCATTCTTCAACACTCTTAAATTTAGTTTCTACCACCACTCTTCCAATGAAATTGCTTTTATCAGCGTCATTAGTTACTTTCAGTAACTGAAAGTAGTAGTTCTAGTGGACATTTTAGTCTCCTCATATCCTGCCTCTCACCATTTTTCTCCCACCTTTCTCCTTTGCTGGCCTTTCTTCCACTGTCTGAACTCTGAATGTTGGTGGGCCTCAGGATTTGGTTCTAGTCCACCATCTTTGCTCTTTCTGCATCCTCTCACCCATTACAATAAGTATTTTATACATTGTTATTGAATTCCAAATTTGTATTTCTAGTCTGAGTTCTCCCCTAATTCCATATGTGTATCCAACTGCCTTCTTGACATCTCCACTAGATGTCTAAAAGGAAAGTCATATTTAAAATGTGTGAAAGTTTTTTACTCCCCTAGCACTCATCAAATCTGTTCTTTTCCCAAACGTCCCCATCTTAGGAAGTGGGTTAACTATCCCTCCAGTTGTTCAGACTGAAAACATAGGAATTATTCTGTATTCCCCTGTTTTCCTCATTCCTTTCATACAAATTCATTAGGCAGTCATGTTAATTTTACCTTCAGAATATATTTCAAGGTTTTGCCTCATCTCCACTGCCACTACTTTAGTGTAATTAAGTAGATTATGCTTTGACTCTTTATAATCCTTTCATGGTTTCAAGGCTCATTCATTCACTAGTAAAGTGAAAATTGGCCTAAATCTCCCAGTATGTTTTGTTAATCTCTTCTAGAATTAAGTTAAATCAGAGGAGGAGAAGAGTTTGGGTTTTTGAAAGTACTTGTCGACAGAGAAGGAAACATTTTGTAGAATTGAAATGAACTTACATTCTATGTGATGGATGGTAAGAACTTTAGAACTAATTGGGATCCCCTTCATTTTTGTCAATGGTTATGGATGAATATAATCTACAAATTGCTTTAATTATTTTCAGAGACTGAACAACGGCAGTGGACAGGATTCATGATAAACTCACAGATGTTGGTTTGTCTTACTGTTGGGCATGAATTGGCTCCTCGTCTGCTCTTGATCAGGGCTCCCTTTTTGGGTCAGACCCTCAGGGTACCCAGCTAGACCTAAAGTTAGTTGGTTCACCCTTAGTCCCTATTCATAGTAGAGCATCCCCCTTTCTAGATGTTGAAGTAAGTTCTTCAACAGCTCAGGAGTGTGGTCCAGACTCTGTATGATGTACCTGTCTACAATATGGACTGAAATAGTGCTAATAATGAATAGGATTCTGCTACCTGTCAAACTTGAGTTGAATAATTTACAGTGTTTATCCCTGATGAAATCACGAGGGCCAAGACTTCACAGTGCCTATTCTAGATGAAGTCATGGGGGTCAGGAGGACACTAGGTGTGAAAGTCTCTTTACTAGATGGTTTAACAGAACATCATAGCAGTTCCTCAGGTCTGCCTCTGCTTTGCCAAGCTGAAAGTCTTTACCACAAAGCTGATAAAATAGTAGTATAGAAGCATACTTGCATCTTTTCTACTATTAATTATATATAGCAATAGTTTTCTAATAAAATTGGGTACTTCCCCCAAATCTGTCTTCCTGCAGGTCATTCTTATGAACTTTTACTCATTCTAGGGTTTGGGTAAGCACCCGAAGAATGAATAAGCTGAAGAAGAAGTGTAATTCCTAGACATGGATCTTGTATTTTAAGTTTGCCTGTGAGCACAGTAGAGAACTTAGGAAGTTCCTTCATCTCTGGTTTTAGATCAGTGATAGATAATGGTAGAGATTAGTTGATGCTAACCTTCAGCTCTTTCCCATACCCCCTGCATTCTAGCTTCTTTTACTGTCTCTCAAAGTCTCTATACCCATTGTTAGAAGAGTGAGGTATTTCCTACTGCGTAGTCTTTCTAAATTTCTGATGTCCAAGCTGTATTCTGTTAATTAGTTTGAAAGACTATACAGTGAGACATGAAATTTTCCCATTTCATTTTTGAAGTGTTCTAACTTTTTACCTGGTGATATCTTTCTTTCAGTTATGACATGCACCGATTACATCCCTCGCTCATCCAATGATTATACCTCACAAATGTATTCTGCAAAGTAAGTCAAATAATTGTTTCAAAAATCTATTTGTTTTTTCTCTAGACTCATTGCAAATTTTATTGCAGAATTTAACTTGATATTTAAGTTATTAAATTGACATTTAATGTATTTTCACCTCTCTTGTTCTCTGTCCCTATTCCAATTTTTTTTATTCCCTCTAAATATAGAATCTATGTAACATCCTTTTAAAAAGTAGATAGTTGTCTGGTAAAGATCACTGTTACCCAGGAGCTCACTTGAAATGAATAGATACTGAACATGTAAAATACTGTTAGTGGTCAAACATATCACTGATTGACCTCTGATTATTCTCTCTCTGGTCTATTAATAGACAGATCAATTTAAAAAAGCTGAAGCCAGCCTCAGACTGGACTTCTCAGCCTAATAATATGTTCAGTTTATTGTTTTAGGAGTGTCCTCAGAGTAGAACTAGGCTTGAAATTAGGTTTAGTGAATTGAAGTCACTGAGAGGCAGTATTTTCGGCCTTCAGGGGGTAGGAGCAGCATTTAAGATCTACTAAGTTAATCATCCCCAAGATGAGTAGGTGCAGAACAGTGTGTATACCAAGCTACCTGTTGTGCATTGATAAAGAGTGAGCCTGCACATACATAGATACAGGCAAGTGTGCTTTATTAAACTGGGATAAACTCTTATGTGCTTACATAGGCAGGATTTTATAAAGAAATTGGTACCAGAGGTGAGTGTTGCCTGTGAGACTATTACAAAAAGAAAATTTTTTATTTTCCTTTTTGTGCCCTTTTGAATTTTGCATCGGTTAAAAAAATAAATAAACTAATTGGAGAATACATAGTTCTCCAAATTCTAATCTGGTATTAACACTAATAGCATCCTTGGGCCAGTCATTTTCTCTTGGCTTTCTTCTTTGTGAGGTCACTAAACCAATTCTCTGAGATCACTGGGAAGGAGATAAGAAAATAATTTGAGCTATAAAGATACCATGTGAAAAAGAGTATTATGATTTTTATCATATCTGGAGATTAATCCATTTGAAATCACTAAGATTTTAAATTATTCCCATGAGATTTGATCATCAACTACAGCCCGAGCTATTTCTTGGTTTCAGATCTGGCTAATAGAAATACTCAAATTCAATGTCTTAAAATCTACTGCGATGTGACTATGTTGCATATTCCAAGTTCATTCATTCATTCAAATATTTGCATACCTGCTGCATTCAGGACACCTTATTAGCTATGCCGTCTATCTTAATGCAGACCTCCTTATCACTTATCTAAAGCATTTCATTTTTTAACTGCCTCTATTTCCATATTCTCCCCTTCTAATCTGTTTTACAAAGTGATATCAAACTAATCTTTATTAAAGAACAGCTTTGCTCAACAATGACTCCCAGTTGTTTCATATTTGTCTGAACACTTTTAGCCTGATATTCAAGGTCTTTGCTGTCTATCTCTTCACTTGCTACTTCCCTTCCTTTTCTATACTTCCCTTAATAAAACCTACGCTCCTTGCAGGCTGAAGCCCTTGCTTTCCCTTCCTCTGTACCTTTGCCAGAGTTTTTCTCTTTTACGAACACCCTTTCTTTCCCATTTTTGCTCTTTCTGTCTGCTAAGCTCACAGACCACTTTTTTTTTATAGACTTCCTTCATTTTCTCCTCCCCCAAAACTGAAAAAAAATCTTTTCCCTTCTGAAACACCCCTTTCTCTCCTAATATTTTATTGTTGTGACCTATATGGTACATATGACACTTACTTTCTTACATTATAAATACAGCATAACTCACCAAATAAAATAACTGATGTTATTTTGATGTTATATTGATGCACTGTAAAAATTCAGTGCATAGAATGTGGCACCGTCTTATTCCGTGGATGAAATTACCAGGTCATCTAGTTTAAAATCCCGGAAGTTTCACTGTTGAATTCACATCTCTAGCTAAACCAGATGTGATTGGCACCAACTAGTGGCAGTGTACTCTGGCTTAAATATCTGCCAGGCAATTCTGTCTTTTCTATGACTCCCCAGATTTTATATGTTATATTGGTCCTATTTTGTAGTCTTGATCTGGGGATATTGGGTCCACCCCTACTCCCAGTTTTCTTAAGGTTGCTTGCCTTTTCTCTGCCAGCCTCACCCTCTTTTCCGAGTCCCACTTTCCCTCTCAGAACTTTAGTTTGGCCCAGAGGGCTAGGTAGACAATGGAGCCAGTTGCCAACCCTGTTCTATCCAGTCTTTTGTCATTTCAGGGTTTAGACATAATATTCAGGTATATAAATAATATAATATTTAGACATATGTAGACATAGTATATCTCTATATTTAGACATAAGGGTATAAAAAGGTTTAATCCATACTTGTGTCTCACGTAGGGCCTTGTACATAGCACACCGCAAATGTTTGTAGCATAGTAATTGGACCTTGGGAGGATATTTGAAACTTTTTAAATTTTCTGTAAAATTGTTTGTTAGGTAGATTATGAGTAGAACCTGGAAAGGAAAAAATAGTTCTACTTTCTGACCATAGTGAGAGACATTTAATGTGGAAGGTTAGTCTCCTTACTGCTGATTCTTTGCTGTTAGTATTAGCTATTTCTCATGTGTTTTTCACATGAAGGCTTTTGTTTTCTTGAACTTTTCTAGACCTTATGCACATATCCTCTCAGTTCCTGTTTCGGAAACTGCTTACCCTGGGCAGGCTCAGTACCAGACACTGCAGCAGTCTCAACCCTACGCTGTCTACCCTCAGGCAACCCAAACGTATGGACTACCTCCTTTCGGTAAGACATCCTATTGAAAGCCATTTCTAAGAATGTTGATTTTATCCCCCAGAAACTTTTGCTCTTTGCCCTAAAAGCAAGGATGACTGATCAGGAAGCTGAGAGATGGGTTGTTCTTGGCAGAGCATCTGCTCAGTAGGTGTGATAGAAGCTGGGTGTGCAATTTTCCAACAGTATATTTGATGCATATAACATAAAATCATAACTTTCAATACTCATATGATTATCAAAATTGAACTATTTCCAAGATACTAAGTCTTGACTGTGAAGCTTGGAATCTTCAGGTATTTGGAAAATCTTTGAGGAATTACTATTGATTTGACTTAACTTCAGACAAAATATGGTAACATAATAAATATATTTTGAGGTGATTAATTTCTTTCTAAAACCTAGTCTAAATATCCAGATAGAAAGATGCCTTATAGTTCTCTCTCTTTTCTTGTCAGTTTCTCTCTCTCCTTCCTCCCCCTGCCCCAAACTGATCAGTTGTTGCTCTGCTAAACCAAAAAGTCATCTTAGAAGGCAAAATCCCTAGTTTTGTACAGCCTTATCATGTGCATAGAGAGTTTTGTTCTTTGGTTCTAGGTATCTTAGACATGAACTATAAATTAGAATGATTTACTAGAAGTCAGTTTGAGATTGTTGGTCACTTAATGTCTGCACTGCTTTTCCTCTGTGTGTGTAAATTGATAGATATATTCAGTGTGCTTTATTGCTGCTTCCCTGCTTTCCTAGAACTAGTGTCAGAAAATTGAGAGAATACTATTTTTTAAAAATATGTAGTATGTTAATAAAATTATAACTCTGTAGCTTTTATTGAAACTAGCTGGGAGTTAGAAAAATATTTCAAACAGATCGCCACAGATTCTGGGTGTTGCCTGCTTTCGGTTTCTACATTCCTACTTTTCTTGGCCTATTGGGCTACTCTTGTATGATAGTGACAGCTTTCCTACTTTTTGACTTGTTAGCATTCCTTGACTGCTGATAACTACCAGAAACAAAAATTGGAGGTTATGTTTAATGATGCTGGTAGCTGATAACCTCATGTGAGAAGAGAAACAGGAATGCTCTTGTTTCCCTGCCTCATAGATGCTCTTGTTCATCCATGCCACAGTGCCTGTCAGTATCAGCCACTATACTAAAATCTTACATTTGTGATATGTTTAACCAGCTAAGACTAAGTCCTTTTGGAAGCAGAACTCTGTGAATATGTTTGTGTTTATTTCTTTTTGCATATATTAAAGCTAATTTTTCAACAGTTTGCTAATAATAGGCTAGCAAGTGTAAAGTATTTCACATTGTTTTTTAACCCTCTGTTTTGATTTAAATTCTTTATTAGAAAGCCAAATGCCTTTTATGACATTGTTGAACAGTTGGTTATTCCTGCTGCTCAGTGTTGAATAAAACTCCTATTGTATCTCTGAACTCAGATTATGTAATACCTAGCACAGTGCCATGTACAGATAGGTCCTAGATATTATGTTATCTTTAATGATCACCACATTTCCCTCATATTAAAGAAGGGAAGAAAATTCTGTAAAATAAATAGATCCCTGTTAAAAACTTGAAGGAAACAATGTTTATTTTATAAAGAAATATTGGTGATAACAGGCTCTTTTATGAATCTGTTTCTGTTTAATAATTGGGGGTGAGGGAAACTTGTTTCATAAATTTTTCTTGTCAGTAATTCAGAGAGAGCTAATCATTAGCTTAATTTGCCTTTGAATGATAGATATGGCATATTCTCAGATTTATAAAGGAAATTTTAAAGAGGTGTTTGTAATAACTTTTCTGTGTGTATGTGTGTAAATACTTTTTAAAGTGTCTGTATTTTTAAAAGACATTTTCTTATGCTTTAACATATAGCTTCTTTTGTTTTATACTCAGATGTAGCAGTCCATTTCTTACTATGTAGCACAAGGAATTATACCCAATGTCTTGTAATAACCTATAATAGAATATAATTTGCAAAAAACAAAAACTGAATTTCTATGCTGTACACCTGAAACTAACACAACATTGTAAATCAACTATACTCCATTTAAAAAAAAAACACTCTCTTTCTTTTTTCTTGTGAATATTTTGGTAATTTTATCATCTTAGTGTTGCCTATTAGCACTAAAAGTAAATTAGCTGGTCTGTTACTTTATTTCAGATGTAAATAGAGCTTTAGAAAATTGTGTTGTATATCATATATTGTGTGTATATATATATACAATAATAATAATATATTGTAGTAATATTGAGTGCTTACTATGCCAAGCAGTATGCTGGAAATAAGTACTTCACACTTTACATTATTGTCTTATTTAATCCTCAGAACCATCTTAAGTAGCATTACCCCTTTTTATAGATGAGGAAACAGGCTTAGAAGGATTAGATGACTAACCTAAAGTCATACAGTTAGTAAATGCCTAGAATTAGCATTGCGCTCAGGTCTGCTTAATTCCAGAAGTGCTCATAAATTTAGGTCTATGAAAAAGTTAATCTCAGAATTGAGTTTGAAATTTAAAAATTTCCTCCTCTTGAAGAAAATGAGAAAAGACTAGATGAAATCTAGGAGGCCCACATTATGACTAATCTTTAAAGGTAAAGGAATAGTAGTCATATCTTTTCAGAGCTGTATAGAATTGTGGAATGGCAGAAAGAGGATTAGAGGTTTAACTTCCAGTGATCTGAATGAGTATGTGTGAGGAAAGGGTACTCATTCTTTTTTAGGGTCTCTTAAAAGATTGTCTTAACTGCCACTGTTTTAACTTCTTTTAAAAGAACTTTAATATGAGATGGAGATTTGATAGTATGTATTAAGGGTCTTTAGGATATTCATGCCATTTCCCTAAGTAATTTCACTTCCTGGAATTTATCCTAGGGAACTCTTTAGAGATAACCACAAAGATTTACAAGCAAGACATCACAGTATTAATTTATAATAGCCAAAGATTGGAATCAACCCACATATTGAACGGAAAGGTATATGTTAAATTGCAGTATATCCATGGAATGAAAAATTATGTAGCCATTATAAATCATAGTCTTAAAGAATATTTAGTGTCTTGACAAAAGTATTTCATTGAAAAAAGTAGTATATAAAACTAAAAACACAATGTAATATACCGTTAGTATTTTTTTAAAAACATATAGAATAATTTGAAAGAAAAACTGTGAATGTTAACAATACAGGCAGTACACATTTGATCTCAGTTACCATGGAATCATGCAAAGTGAGGACACAGTTTCAGTATGCACAGGTTGCAGTTAACACAGTCCCGTGCAAAAGCAAGAACTGCCTATTTTTTTTTTCCTGTGTGATGAGACTACGTGATTTTTTTGTTTACACTTTCCATATTTTTCTGATTTTCTATAATTGTATCTACTTACTGATAATTAGGAAAAGTGCTCAGATTAAATTACTTAGTATTTATAATAGCTCATCCCAGTGAGCTATTGAATCAAGATATTCTTTCTTGTGTTTTTTTTTTCCTAACATTTACATGTGCTTCAATTCCTAACCAAACTAATCTTCTCTAAAGATCTACTGCTCTGATATTATTACTACAAAGTGAACTGCTCAGATTAGTTTGGTTAGTGACTAACCAATACTGAAGTTTTATGCTGAGAAACTTGGCTGGAGTTGGTGATAAGACCCCACTGTGGGGCAGCAGGAGGGTGGCACTCAGAGACAGGCTTCCTTTACCATTTTTAGACCAGCTGTTGTTCTCCATCAGGCTCTTGGTGCTTAAAATGACTTGAGAAAGTTTGTAATTATAGGCAAAGAACAGGAGACTGGGAATCAGGAAGCCAAGATTTTATTTCTTCTTTGCTGTTGGCAGTAGTGCTCTATAGTCAGACCATTTGGTAATGCTACCTGTTACTTGGAATTTCGGGAAGAGTGCTTTTAAAGGAAGATATTTATATACTTAAAGAGGATGGCTACAGTGATGCTGAAGGCAGTGTCCATATTGTCTTTTATTCCTCTGTTCTTCGTAAAATAACATTAAATACTTCGTGTTTCTGGCCAAAAACGTTCAAAACCAGCTGTTTCTCCTAGTTATCTCGGACATTTTGCACTAATTTTTGACCTTAAAAGAAGGACCAGTTTGTAGACATTTTACATTTTGAAACTTAAAAATATATATAAATAAAATTCTCTCAGTTAATACTATTCTTTTTATCTTTTTAACTTTTTAGGGGGAAGGAGTAATTAGGTTTATTGACTTGATGATGGATGGATGGATGAAAGTACTGGGATTGAACCTAGGACCTTGTGCATCTAAGCATGCACTCTACCACTGAGTTATACCCTCCCCCCTCAGTTAATACTATTCTTATTAGTAAGATATTTTAGGACAGTGTAGTAATAAACATGTTCACAAATCCAACACCTCAGGTTCAGAACCTATTTAGAAAAAAAATTACATTGATTACAGTAAGTCTGAAAGTGACTGTAACATTGAAATGGCAGTTTGTTTCTTAAAAAATGTTGTGGTCAGCCACCATGAATCTTAGTACTGATATTCAAATTTCATATCATAAATGTTTAAAAACTGCAGTCTCAAATATTTTTATTGTTAAATGTCAGCAATAGC